ATGTATAAGTTGTATTAGTGGTTTTCAAACTTTTAAAACCCCCATTTGATAAGATTTTGTCCTCCATCTGATAGGATTTTTGCTTTAAGATATTAATGAAAGTGTATGAAACCCCTGACTATAGCAGTCACACATTCTGTCACTGGGTTACTTATGGACGGAGTTATAGTGAAAATAAATGATTGCCCCTTTTTGCTGGAGACCCTGGAACTGTCTCAAGCAGAGTGCGAACTACAGGGGAGCCAGAGGGAGCTCGGACAGAGGCTCCCCTGAAAACATGGTTTGTGCAATTGTCGGGAGTCTCTAAAATATTGACAATACGCTTTATCAATATGGATCATGCATAAATTAGGATGTTATTGATGTATGTATGTCACTAAAGCAAGTAGGCCATGATTGCAGCTATGAATGTTTCTTTGTGAATGGCCCCCCTCAAAAGTAAGCGCCCCCAAAAACCGTGGTATAGTTCGCACACCGCTCTCCATGAACCCTGGGTGTTCCAGGACCCTACTTTGAAAACCACGTACAGAAAACGCTGAGATAAACATACTTTTCTCATGAGAAAAGACATTTTCTACATGGAAGTCATCCTCAGTGCATTCTCACGGACCGTAGTGTTTCTGCATTTTGTCTCCCATTCACCACATAGAACATACTTTACATTTCTGCTGACTTCCCTCCCTTCCAGACGGCCCCTGCTTTCAGATCATTTCAGTATGTTTTGAAAATCAACATGCAGAGACTTGAAACTTGCACGAGTTAGGTAATCCATCAGCGTGAACATTGTGTGTGCTTTTATTACACTCACAGTTCTGTTATCATAGCGTGATTAAGAAGTTGAAAGTGCAGATGTGAAAGTCTAGACTGCATTACCAAAAGCTTAATCTGCCTGTAAAGCTACTCACAGACAGACAACTCATTCATTTCCTTCATACACTATAAATTAACCCTTATCCACTGTTTGCCAACATGGGTCAGGGTAACAAGGGTTGAAAAGGTAGAAAACATTGAAGTATTTTGAATGTGCAGTAGATGCTCGCACTTTGACAGCAATTTGATGTTTATTTTTCCATTATTGAGTGTTTGTCTTCAGCTCTGTGCAGAAATAAAACTTTTCCAGGAGAGGTAATTCCAGGAAAGTAGCTCACAATGAGCTGATAATGGCTTTGCTTTTCAAACATTTGGTGACTGCAGTGATATTCCCTTTTGGTACCCATTGATGGAAAATACATTTACTTAAGTAGTTTTTTGATTGAATTATTTGATTTATTTCAGTGTCCTGCACCATCCTATGCTGCCCAGCTCTTATGGGCTTATAAGACACTAAAGCAATATCAGCTAAGATCAGCCTCACTTAAGTGGTGCTACTGGAGTATTTTCTTTTTTTGGCGACTCTACTGACTTTACTGCATTTCTTTACACCTATCTGACAACTTGTTACCTACAGTTTAAGATTTTACATACAAAGCATGTGTTCAGTTTATAAAATATGAAGCACTGTCATTCAACATAACTACATTCACACTGCAGGCAAAAGTTGCCCAAATCTGACATCTGTTTTATTTTCCATGACAGCGTGAACAGCACAAATCACATGGAACCTGATCTTTTCAATTCGGATTCAGGCCACTTTCATATGTGATCCCAATCAGATACAGGTCTGATTTGTTGCAGTGTGACCTCAGTGTAAACAGTCAGATCAGAATTCAGGTGATTTTTACATCCCTCTAGCTTGACATTCATTATGTGGGTCACGTCGGGACTTTGACCTGTTCACACTGGAAGCTGATATGGATCACATTAAACAAATAATGTTAATGTTAAAAACAGCCAAACTGAAAAAATCAGATCCGAGCAATAATCCGAATTGAGTGCTAAGGCTTGTGTATTTAGCTAGTTAGCTTCACCTCAGAGAGCTACAATGTTAGAATGCTGCTTACAAATAAAAACCTAATTTGAACTATTTGGGGCGCCCTATAGCTCACCTGGTGGAGACAAGGCGAGTCCTTGCAGCTGCAACCATGGGTTCAAATCCGACCTGTGGCCCTTTGTTGCATTTCATCCATGAGGCTGTGCTTTGAGCTAAATGCTAACGACAGCATGCTGCTGTGATGCTAACATGCTGATGCTATGCAGGTAAACACAAGTATGCCCAAGGCTGGTGGGAATGTCATTAGTTGTGCAGGTATTTAGTCATACATGAAAGTATTTGATAAATTGAAATGTAATTTATAACAATCCATCGAAAAGTCGTTGAGACAGTTTCACTTAAAATCACAAATGTCAACCTCAGGCTAAAGCTAAAAGTCCCCAAAATCAGTGGACTCATCCTCTGGGGACAATGAATGTACAAAATTTCATGGAAATCCATTTAGTAGTTAAGACGTTTCAGTCTGGACCAAAGTGGCACCAACACTGCCACACCTAGAGCCACGCATGGCTAAATGTATGATCCAGGAGGTAGAAATTTAACATTTCAAAGACTAAACTCATTGCGCTGTTGGTTATAGTGTAATGGTAAAATTGTAACCTACAACCATCAAGGGTCAGTTCACCCAAATTGAGAAAATGGAAAATAAAATGTAGTTTATCGACTGGAGGGACTGGGGACAGTTTCAGGAAGCTAATCTTAAAACTTGATCTAGTAAAACTAGAACTATCTGCACAGTGTCAAAGTGTGAAAATATGTTTGTTTTCTTTTTTTAGCTATTTTTTGGGCCTTTTATTGCCTTTATTCGATACAGACAGCTGAAGATAGACAGGAAAGGGGAGTAGAGAGAGAGGATGACACGCAGCAAAGGGCCCGCAGGTTCGGATTGCAAACCTGGGCCACTGCATGCAACTCCGTACATGGGTCGCCACTCTAACCGACTGAGCTAACCGGGCACCTGTTTGTTTTCTTTTTATTGCAATTTGAGTGAACCAACCCTTTAAACCGGAGGTAACGACCATTCACATGACATTTCATGACAATTGCTAAGACAACATGGTTTACTATTTGCAATTAATGAGTCAGTAAATCATTTGCAGTTAGAAATGGTAATATGTTATTGAAGGATGCTTACAATAATCCATCATTCATACACTTTTATCCAACTATTGGATGGAGTACCATGTAACCCTCAAACTTTTCATTTAGCACAAGCATCAGATGAAAAATGTTTTGTCCAGTTCATTCATACTTTGGTATATGACCAAACTAATGATATTCCCATCAG